GGGTGCGTGTGGGCGACCAAGACTGTCACTGGGAGACCACGTCTGTGTTATCAAGCGCTTGGGGGAGGTAGGCTGTGGAACCGCTACAGCCTAATGAGAGAAGTGTGTTCCGTAACGCCGTCGGCGAGTGACCTTCTACCATTTCCAGTGTCTTATATTTAAAAAAAATGTGACCGTGTGCTTCTTTTGCAGCAGCTTGAGTTATAAAGGAAGACCTAGGCCATTACGACCTTCAGGTACGGTTCACTATGAGAAGATAGAAAGTGGGACGCCGGTTAGAAAGAGTAGTGTATTTATTACAGAATTAGGAGAGAAAAGAATGAAAATAAAATGACAGTCGTACGTGAGCTCGTTCGGGCCAAGAGGGTGACGTACCGAGTGTGTGATGGCGGGGGATGTTGCAGCGTCTCCAACGGGGTCCGGTATGAGTCATGCTCAGGGAGAATATTGGTCAGTTAGGCCGGCTCGGAGTGGCAGGAGGGGAGTAATGGTGCGCAGATGCATAAAGTCGCGAGAGGCGAGGCGTTCAGCATTCAGTTGAGCTACTACACATCCATCACAGTATAACTTGGATTTTTTTAGGTACACAATCTTCGCTGAGGTGGACGTTCAGGCTACTAATGGCGGCAACGCAACGATCATCAGTGAAAAGGTGCCCATTCAGATCGTCAGCTGTGCTGGTCTGCCTCAGGTTGTTACCAATCAGTACCTGGCAGGCGACGTCCAGCTCGTTGATCTGCCCGACAACTCTTCAAAGGTCCTTCTCATCGTAAGTTGAGATTCAGTCGGCGGAACATTTTTTACTTTCCGTAGGGTGATATAACTTTGGCGCAGTATATAAAACAAGTTTTAGACGCGTGTCTTTCAGGTGCGGGAAGAAGTAAATTAGGTTGCAACAGATGGAAGCTTGTCCAAGGCTCTTCCTTCTAACTGCGGTCAAGTGGACTCAGAACATCTTACATTTTGAGACTTCTGCTTTTGCTGTCTGACAGTAAATCGAGGTGAACAATTCTGATATTCAATGGATTTGCAGGGCTATATGAACGAGTCAGGAAGCTTACTTGGAGGTAATTAGCAATATAGCCCAACTAGACTGAGCTAGCTGCCTAAAGCTCACCAGGACGTCCGCAGTCAAATCCCCCCTGAACAAGTCGCCTTTATGACACGAATTTATTTGTATCTTTATGTGATTGCTATTATAAGTCAGAAGTATTATTTTTAATAAAACGCAGAAGATTCCAGCCTCTTACTGATTAGGCTCAACGAAGCGTAGAATATATGTAGAACGCGAGCACTAGATGATGCCAACTACCAGCCACTCATCGCCCACTTACGAATGTCCATCGTGTGTTTGGTCAGTTATCTGAACTTCGTTTTAGGCTGCCCTTCGAGGGCTGCTTGGCCGATGACGCTGTCAACAGCATAGTCAAGCATCCAGTGCATATGCATTAGAAGCCACGCACTTGGAAATGGCGTGCATTGCAAAGCGCTTTTGCATATCCTACTTGTTGAGAAGCCTAGGCGCATGAGGTTGACAGTGGCATATGTTCGTTCTTTTCGGCTAATGAGACGTTGACGACTGCGTAGGAAACTTCATGAGGTCTACGTAGGGGACAGGTGCTGTCAGACCTTTTCGGAACTGTAAAGATCCACTCGAACTGACCTGGCCTGATCATGTCGTTCGATAGCACCACCATCCGGTTTTGTATATCCCTACAAAAGCTAGCATGGTACTAGTATACTTAAATTATACTAAAACGAACGATCTTGCTCACCCTGGATACCTCTAGCCCCAGAATTCTGTTTAACAGCACCGGTGGCATTAGTTTAGTTTATTATTTAGTTTATTAGTTTAATTTTAATTTATTACAGGGCCCTGTTATTTTGCCATCCGTGGCCGTGACCAGAAATCAGGGCCCAGTTCCTCTACAAACATGCAGGCCACTATCTCAAGATCACATGCCGTTACTCCAGGGACGCGCTTCGGAGACGTGATAAGATAGGGTGAGCATGGAATTGGCGTGGACAAAGACCAATCAATAATTTCCACCACCCAACCCCCTCCCCTACCAACCCCATGTATGCGTAGCTGACGTTTGCTTCTCTCATTTACTCTGACGATGGCTTCTCGTGTGGAGCCGAAAGCTCAAAATAAAACTATCGTTCCAGAGATCGCGTCTTCGTCTTCTTTACAGTTCAGTTTTTATTTTATTTAGTTTTGTTTAACTATTTTAAGTTACTTTAGTATATAGTAGGTCTTTACGTCTACTTACCTAACGTTGGCAGTATCTACTTGAAATAAAAGTAAACTAATAAACTAAAAAATAAGCCAAAAACTAAACTGGTACTAAACTAAAGCTAATAAAACTAAGGGTAACCACAAGACTAGGGGCTAGGGTAGCTAAGGTGAGTGACCAACATTGCTCTTGTGAACTAAGTCTAATCGCTTATTACCGTTCGAAATTGTAAAATGCTCCAAATTCTATACCTTAGGCGGGCAGTTAATGATCACAGCAAAATGTCCACGCTGACAATCCAAATTCTTGATTCCTCAATCAGTTTTAAATGTTAGGTTTATTTTACAAATTTTGTTCAAATCTCCTTAAGAAGAACTGATTGTGACTATCCTATGATGATGATGATGATGATGATGATGATGATGATGATGATGATGATGATGAAAGATGATGATGATGATGATGATGATGATGATGATGATGATGATGATGATGAGATGATGATGATGATGATGATGATGATGATGATGATGATGATGATGATGATTGTAGAAGCAGTTTGCTAGGTACGAAGCCCTTATATGATAGTCATCAAACATAGGAGGTCGTATAAATTCATGTTGTAACTTACCATATTAACAGCCTATTTACTAGCTAAAATGCCCAGACATGTGTTTCGCCGGTGGTCTGCCGCTGTTTGGCACAGCTGCGAGGTTGTTTCTTTCGACGAA